TACTTCCTGTCGGTTTAAAATTTTATTTCTTTCTTTCTTTAATAACACGTGGGGCGAAGAGATAAAAACAGTTTCTGAACGCTCCGTGTTGTTTTTGAGTCTTTAATTCGTTAAAGCTTGAAAGTCCGTTACATCTAAATTCCTATCAAGAACCAACGAGCCACCATTCTCAATTTACCCCCGAAGAAGAAAGGTCCACCTTCGAAAGCGCTCGGGTTATAGGGTTTTTATCGTTTTAGCATATAATAAACTCATTGATGCATATTGTTTTCAAAATCAGCTAGTGATACTACGTAAAATATTAAAATATATGTGTATAAATTTGTGTGCAAAACAACATAAGGTCTTAAACAGTTTATAACAATTTAATGTCTAATTGCAATTAACTTATAATATTTAAACAAAATTAATAAGTGAGTTTGAAAGTATAAATATTTGATTAATAAATTATTTTCCTGAACTTCTTATCTTGCAACATTTGCCAATTAATCTGAAAAAAAATCAATACGAAGTAATTAATACTTATCATTGTAAAACGGAAAATGTCATGATATGTTCAAATATAGTCTACTTTTAACCGTTTTCTTTACTTATTTGATTATTGACTTTTTTATTTTTTGCAAGTGATATAATTGCCTAAAAGCTGACTTTTATTTCCTTAACTCACCTAGAGTAGGATATAAGTATTTATAACACATCAATCGCCTTAAAAAGCAACGTGAACAATATTAAAGTACTGTTTGGTGACGTTAAGAAAAGTGTTATTTTATATCTTGAATATCTACTAGTTGGTTGTTATTTGTGATCTTACGTTACAAATATGACCATCAAATATATCCATCAAAATATTTCTCGAAAGTAAGTCACATATTAGCATTAACGTGGTATAAAGGTTATGTTTGTTGTTGAGCAAAAGCTACACAATTGGCTATCAGAGCATTAAAAACCTTCATATTTGTGGGTGGGGTGGGGGCTTTAAATGTTGACGTGATGATAAAATCCAGAAAAAAAAAATCTATAGGTATTAGATTATATAATCAACACTATGGAGAAACCGGAAGGAACGTCAATGGAGTATTAGATACGTGAAAAGAGTACTGAAAAAGCGAGAAAGTCAGTGAATAATTCATAGAAACCCAGTATGTATACAAAATGAGCTACTGTTTCAGCTTTGAAACGTGAGTTAAGCTGCTACTGTTCAGGCAGAGTAAGTTAGGCTTCTATTAGCATTAGAAATAAACTTGTACTGAAATTTATCGAATAAGATGCTATCAAGTTGTTTAATTTTATTTCCTAAAATTGTGATTATGCTATCTATTAACCTAGCGTGGATATAGTCTCCCATTGAAGCTTAAAATAATAATTTATATTAAATGATATTATCATGAAATATAAACTCCTAAAATTTCGTTAAAAATCCGGTTGATGTAGCCATGGAAAAAATTGTAGAGAAAAAATATAGTTCAGAACCATGTACCTCAGATAGCACGTATTTACTTTTATGAAAAACAAAAAATGCTCATATTGTTTACACAGAGAGCAAATAGATATCACTAGAAAGGTTATACAAAGGCAAAGTATGGACTAACTAAATGCTGATCACACTCTCAGAGGGCTTCATTATAGAGGTTCTTAGTGGGGTCAGGACTGATGTGTCCAGAGGTGGGGAAGTCGCGTACTAACACATCAACAAAGTGATGTTTTGCCAGCCGTTAAGGTTTATATAATATATAGTGCCATCGCCTAGTTGAAATAAACGTTTTCATGCACTTTCGATAAACAAATGCTTAAACATAATAAGGTCAATAAAATTAAGAAATCATAAATCAAATGATAATTTAATATCGAATAAATTATGATAATGCTCATTAAGTTTGTTTAATTTCGCCAAAAGCTATCTGTCCCTAACTTAGAAGTGATAGACTAGAGGGAAGACAGCTAGTCATCTCTACCCACAGCTAACTCTTTGACTACTCTTTATCAACAAAAAGCGGGATTGGCCTCACGTTATAACGCCTCTACGGCTAAAAGGGCGAGCATGTTCTCTAGTAGGATTCGAATCCGCGACCCGCAGTTTGCGAGTTGAGAACCCTAACCGCCAGACTAGTCGCTCCTGTTAGAGGTTTGTTTGGTGTATGTATATAAGGAACATATATATTTTTTATATTTTGAAATGCCAAAATGCACACAAGGACTCGACATGCATATAAATATATACTAACAAACTAAATATAAATAAATGTGAACTTATATTATATATATTGCGAACCGTGGTGTCTGTCAGAACGTTCGTCTTTGTCCCATATGAAAAACTGCGCACGCAGGCAAAGCTCAACATTTGAAATAACGGGAACAAGCATGAATAATGTTCGTGTAAGATATTCTACACTAAATTGTTAGGAATTAATCACATCATCATTCACATTCCAAAATGTGACGTAACTTAAATAATAAAAATGTAGACTTACCGTACGTCATTGTTAAGCTGTTCTTATTAAAAGTGAAATGCTGAACAATTACTTTTCGTGGTGGCCGTACAAGTAGCTCGGAGCTATATTATATTTGTTTTATTTTATTATTTTTTTGTCATGTGCTTTTGACTGATACAGTTGATGGCGACGGGTACTTTTGCTAGATTAACTTAAACTTTTCCCGTCATTTGGGACGGGTTCTTTTGCTTGTTGTAGTTATAAAGTCAGTTGTTTGTTTGACAATAGTGATAATAAGGAATGTTAGTTTCTTATAACAAGGCTGGTAGATATTGATACACCTTTGAAATGTTGTATATATTTTAATAACAGTAGTTGGTATTTTCAACCTGAACACCACCTTATTCAGCACATGGGATAAATGGTTAGATGAAATACTTCATGATTCAGGCATAGCAGCCTCTAATTTACTTACAGATACATAAAGGTCCAGTTACGCATATATTGTTGTATGGTTCAACTATAACAGTGTTAGTCAAACATATGATAATAATTATATTTCATTTTATGTTCTTGCATAAACTTTAATGTATATAGGCTTTCCATGGTGTTGTAAGTTTTATGTAGTGTATTACTCATATGACACAGTAAGTTCTGATATTATTTCGGAAAACATTACTATTCATGAAATTTTTAACATTTATATTTATGATAAAGAACTATAGAAAAATAACATAAGCATTTGTAGCATATGGTACAAATATGTGCTCGTTTATTTAATAAATGCGGGGTGTATCATCAGAAACATTGAAATAGCGTAGCGTTGAGTACTTTTAAAGTTATATTTGTTTTATTTTCTTCTTTTTGTCAGTCGATTGTGCATACTTGTCTTGTGAAATGCTTCCAGAGATATTTGCAATGTTAATAGTTTAATAATTGAGAATGCATTAAGATATACATATTCTGATGTTGGTATTGCGGTCTGAGTCATATTAAATCTAGAAATAATTTTACATAAGACAAAATCATATAAATTAAAAATAAATTTTTTATTTTAAATAAATATGAACGGAAATGCAAAATTAAAACAGACGGTATCATATAACGAAAGACAGCATTATTGTTTAGTTAAAGTCCAATTTATTTTATAACTGACAAAGTATTAATGTATAATTCTATACTAAGAGCAAAAAGTAGAGAACATTTCATTAAACTGAATGAAACGGTTGATGAAAATAATTTGGAAATTAACAGATGTTGCTGTGAAACATTATTTGGTTCATAAAAATTGTCTTATTAGAGCTTTTAGTATAACTGATGTTCATGTTGAGTCCAGATATTTTAAATTTGGTACGATTAATCGAATCTTTCTCACAGTGTGTTTTTAATCTGAACTAGGAGAAGCGATTAATATAACAGGAAAAAAGTTTATTACACGCTATTGCTATTAAAGCAAACATCGTTATGTAATTTTTTTTTTTTTCGAAATTTCAAATACGCATATCTGTGATTGTTCTCAGAGTCCGATAAAATTATTTTCATTTTGTCTCGAAATGAAAATATTTGAACATCATCAATGGAAACTACTATATGAATTTCGGAGATTTCTTTTAACATCAAATCTTTACTGGTATATTACAACGGCTGGCTAACACTACTATAAGTAAGGTTGATAGTGAACAAATAATTTTGATAATTAATTTTACATCGTTTTTTGTTTGTTTGGTGATAAACACAAATCTACACAATAGGGTACTCGTGTTGTATCCACCGCGTATATCGAAATCCGTTTTTTAGCCTGATAGTTCTCAGACTTACCGCTGAGGCACCGGCAATAGTTTGCAAAGTAGTCAGAAAAAACAACAACAACAACAACAAAAATACACTTCAACCAAATTATTTTACGTGCTAATTAAATCATATTTCATAAAATGCTAAACAGTCTAAAGATAAATATTTGGTGCAGTGTTTTGCTAATGCACCAAAAAATATGTTGGATTACTAATGTTAATGGTCACTCGATATGTTGAATGTTTGAAATATTGAAATGATGTTAACTAGATTAATGAAATTTTATAATCCAACGATTTGTTTATTTTACGCTTTTTAAGGGCGAAAACGAAAGAAGCCACTGAAGAATAAAAACAGCTTTTCCATCTCTATAATCTAAACAGAAAAATCTCTTGTTATTTATTTTCAAACGTAAACGTAGAATGAATTTTGCTCTAACATGTTTCATGTTTAATGACGAGGAAGATCTGTAATTATAGACTATATCAACCAGATTTACTGGTTTGATAATTCGTAACAAAGTCTATAAGTCAAAGGAAATTGATAATAAAATAATTACATTGCAAGTTTTTGATTAAAACATTATCTTTGTAATGTTCGAAGTTTTAAGTAGTTAATTTTTCCGAGTTTGTCGAATTCTTATTCTAAAGTTAATGCAAAAGTAACCATCTTTAAGATAAAATTATTTTTAGAAAGAACTATTTTTCATAGATAATAAAATATACAATTACTAATAATTCAGATATAAAATGTTAAAATAGGTGCAGAAATATCACTTACCGATTCAGTTATGAAATACAAAGCAAGAACCATGTGTAATAAAGTAGTGAACGAGACAATTACTATAAATGGTAGCAGCAACTTACGACGATCCTGTTGAAAAAAAAGTTGCAATAAAAAAATAAGCCCACAGAGTTAAAAATATATTTTTTTACTTAATGTGCAATAGAGACAATGTAAAAATTTAACTTCATGCACATCATAGTTCAAAACTAACATTTTCCACTTACCACAAAAACCCCAATCAGCAGAATCACGGAAGCTATCACACTCATGGCTGCTAAGATCATCATGAACAAATTTCCGAAGAAAATAACTGTGCAGTAAAAAAGTGTAAAATATTAAGTATTTTAGTCGAATGAAAAGGGTGTTTTTCTATAACATTAAAAATTATAATATATTTTCAAAAATGTAATAAAACCTAATTTTACTGAAATAAAAACAAACATTCTTAGTTCTTATGCTCGATTTAACTGACCTATTGTTATAATAATCATTCTCTTGATATGAAGTATGCTATTGTTGAATGTGATTAATTATATAAACTTTTATGTAGGAGTTTCTTTATATCAGAACTGTACAGCCAATCTGTTAAAAGTATTAACGATGATGAAAATTCCACTTTAAGCACTAAATGAAATAAATATTGAATGATAAAACTAATTCTATAAACAACGAATCCTTAAAAATTCAGCATTATAGTTTATTTTCTTCTATCACATTGTCAGTTTAAAATTAATACTTGTCTATAGGCTGAATTTAAAAAGAAATATTTATAATATGATTCGATGACAACTTATAAATTAACAAGGTGTTACTTAGACTAGCCATTTTATTGAAGTATTGTCAAACATACATTCATAGAACACCCCATTTACTTGAAATACCATGAATATGTAACATGCTAAGTGACTTCTTGAGCTCTATAAATGCGGATATGTAGTTAAATAACGATTAGTCTAAGCAACAATAAGTGAGAATAATAATACCTCCGAAAATCAAAGAACATATGATGATAAACGAGTTTCTAGCAGAGGAATCTAACCTATATTTCTCGAAATTGGAGGAGTCATTAAAGCCAAAATGCATTTATACAGATAGAATAGTTCGATTATTGTCTGCCCATTACGAATTTAGAGACATGGGTGTAATGGGGTAGTGAAGGGAGGGATGCCGTGAAACCTTATAAGTGTAGTGAGTGTTGGGATCACCTAGCCTAGAGCCAAATGCACAACATTTATCATCAAAGTAAAAATATAGATTCAATTTTAAACTTAAATCGTTTCTAGATTAAGCTATTTTCTGGTATATTACCAACGTTTTAAATAAAAAACTATCATATTTACATCAATGGGGACTAAATTAAGAAATCAACACATATTTTTCCAGTTTTGTTGTCTAAACATTTCATTTTATACTTTCAATACATAGACGAACAACAACATGAGATTATACTTTTGTTGCTAAGCAACATGACATAAAAGCCAGTGTTGGAATGAAACGTAGTGCTACAAAAACGCACTGGCTTTTTTATATATCAAAAGTTGTTAATCTAACTGATTTTTTACCAATAATTATACTATAAATACGTCACGAATTCATTTCATGAATGATCTTAATCTTGATTGGCTCTTAAAGGAATTTACCGACGTTTGACAGCCCGACTGCACTTTTCTATCTTTGTTGGTCAAGCTTGATTTCACAAAATGTATTTATTTCAGTTAGCTATGAATTGGGAGGTTAGGGTATACTATGGGGTGGGGGTGGTAGTGCTTGCCCAGTCATTTTTGACAGGCTATACGATAGTCATTATTAAAGACTGTTTTTTGACAAACTGTTCAAAGACATTCATAATCAGGATTGTTCATCATTGGCAATCATAAAGGAATACGTGCACCAATATAAAAAAATATGGACGACAACGACTGGTAAAATACCAAGGGAAAAATGAAATGGACAGGCTTGTAAAATGTTTCAATTGAATAATATCTTAACAGTGGCTAAGATTCGACTAATTCTAACCGAAACCATACCATAGTAAGAATATCATCCAAGCTGTCAAATTACGGCCGACAACCAATACATAAAGTGTTAATTTTGGAAACAACTAGGAACGTATGTCTTCATTGATAATTTAAAGAAACTGTGGAGCTTGGCAAATTATTATCGCGCTTCAAAGTAATCCTAATAAAGTGTCTTATGAGTGTTCAACTAAAACTATAATAGCTAAATGCATAGTTTTCGAGTATTCTATACAAGTAAAATATTATTCAAATTAAAAAAGTATCTTGAAGTCCCGTTATTATCTTATTTCAAAACAAGATAGTACCTGGTGTATCGTATGCAGCATGGGCCTGGAATAAACATGCTGTAAAGATGAACAGGTAGACAGCCTACACAATAAAAATAAATGTAAAAATTAATTGCTTGAGCTGATTGTTTGTTTGTTTGTGTTTGAATTTCGCGCAAAGCTACACGAGAGCTATCTGCGCTAGCCGTCCCTAATTTAGCAGTGTAAGACTAGAGGGAAGGCAGCTAGTCATCACCATCCACCGCCAACTCTTGGGCTACTCTTTTACTAACGAATAGTGGGATTGATCGTCACATTATAACGCCCCCACGGCCGAAAGGGCGAGCATGTTTGGTGGGACTGGGATTCGAACCCACGACCCTCTGATTGCGAGTCGAGCGCCCTAACCATCTGGCCATGCCGGGCCGGGCTTGAGCTGACAATACGAAATCAGAGAACCTGGAGTTGCACCTAGATGTTTGTAGTAAAGAATTCGCGATTGCACAGACTAAAGAATGAGACTGAATACATCATAATATTGGAGCACACAATGTCAACTAGCTTATTCTCGTTACTGAAACTTTTATTTCGCCAAACATTTTCTCCAGACCCTATTTAACAATTCGTTTTTTTAAAAAAAAGAAAAAAACGATTTATTAAATAAATGAAGTTCGTAAAACATATTTTAATTTCATTTCAGACTCTTCTTCATCGTCTGGATTCGGTCTATGTTTTAGACCAGGGAGGGTCAGGTTCAGCGTTGACCTCAATCAGATTAACTAAAACATTTTTCTTATTTATTCATCAACTAAGAAAAACAGTTTAACTATTACATTCCTTTTTAATATATACAGACTAGTTTACCTAGATAAAAAATAATTTAAAAGTTTATTTCAATTTAATATTTAATCTATTTAAAAATGTTATTTGATGCTGTGTTAACATATGGAGGCCCTCGAATTATTTTACGCTAGCCAATATAAAACTTCTGCAATTTTGTGTTCAATGTAGTCTATCAGAGTCAGATCATACTTTTAGGTCTGGTACCACGTCAGTATATGATCTAGCAGTATATTTTCCCCTTAGACGCACAACAAGATCTGTGTGACGCTTATAATAATGTTCACACCATAATAAATGTCAATGCCGTATTCAACGTTATTGCACTGTTGAGTGCTGTTCATCTCTAGCCTTCCAGGTACGAGGACATCAATCATTGATACAGACATGAAACCTTGATTGTTCTGTGAAAGGCACGGGTATCTAATAGTGCTACTATGAAATCTAGTGATAGTGATCTCAGCAAATGTCTAAAAAGAAGCGCCGTAGTATGAGGTCAAACGTAGGTTTACCCGACTGTAGTCTCAACTAATGAAGTCTGGATATTAATCATTAATCATTTCAGTTGCTCTTCTGAACGCCATATTCGGCCAATGGGCAGCAGACCACCCATTTCCAGAGGCATGCTTTGAAAATAGGGATCATTATTATGGCGTAATTGATCTTTCACCACCTCGTCCTGGATATTAATGCATACAGATCAATCACTCATAGCTTCTCCACTACGGATCTAGATATAATGAAATGACCTGATACTTCTCTTTCTATTTATTCGGTTTTTAATATCTTAACAAACCTAATAATCTATGCATCCACCTTCCTCCTTCTTAATGATACAGGATTAAACAACAGAGCAATATTAATGTTTTTTTCTAAATTATAAATATTTCACTACTGCTTAAAGGCATGGTGCTTTGTTGTGTAAGGGATACAACATTAGAGCCCATTTCTGAAAGAATCAGATGCAACTTAATGGCTGTGGATCGGAGGTAGAAAGCTCGCTCCACGATACCATTGAACACTGAAATTTCAGCTATGGTTGCGTTTTAAGAGTGACTGTCAATTCCGTTAATTGTTCAAAGCTAGATGTATCTCTTGTGGCAACAAGTGCTGATGGCTGGCTGTCTTTCTGTTGGTCAGTAATTCAAGATTAAGGATGGCTATATCTGAATCCTAGGGGTCTTTGACCTGGCTCTTTAGTTCATGTGTCGTATGAGGTTCCATTCAAGTTGAAAAAACTAATACTTTGTTCGAAAAACCTAAAACGTTATCTTCAATAACATTTCCCCATATTGAAGATAGGATATATTTTCTCTTAATGGTAGCCCTTCAAATGTTGCAGGTTCCAAGTGTAATATTTGTAGTGTACTTAATAACTAGTGGTATGTATCATAACAGAATGCAGTAAAGTTATTAAGATCAAGATATTTTGTTCACAGTCTTTGATTCTTTTCACAAATAATCCATGACAAACTGGATACAAACAGTAAATATATTTTTATTAGACCGTTGTATTTTAAATATAAAAAAAATCGTAAACTAGTAAATCAAGCCGTAGTTTAGGGTACGTTGCATACGCCAAATCCGCCTTTTTGTAGAGCGTTGACCCATAAAGTGGTTTTCATGTGAAATATTGTACCAGCAAAGCACTAAGAGACTGGTTGTAAATGGCACATAAAACTCATTTCCTTAAATCCAGTTGTGTAATTGTAGGTTTTAATGTTCACTTAACATAACATACTGGACAATATTATGAAAATTTTTGAAGAGAGGGATGATTCATAGTAGAAGCTGCCAACATATACCAAAAGCTAAGTCATAGATAAAGAAAACTGATGTTGGCATCATTATAAAATGATTTCAGTAATTGTTTTAGTCCCATGTATCAAGGGCCCCTTTGTGTCAATAAATCAAAAAGTTGGACTAATATATATGTACATAATTTAATCAGACATGTTAAAAGCAAACTGTTTTAGTCCATAAACGTTGTAGTGTTGTTATTTTTCTTCCAGATCTGAAAATATAAGAAAATATTTTCCAACACCCGCTGGCGAGAAATGTTTAAAACTCTTCCTTAACAATACAGTATATTCCAGTTTGAAACTGCTTCAACATATTTAATGTTAATGAGCGAAG